CCACTGAGAAGATCCGGCGAGAAACTCAGTGGGCAGCTCGAGAGACAACAACGGAGCGTTTTTATAGCAAGGTATCGTGGTGGGACGATGTTGTTTACGACTCTTATCTTGCACGTGTTGTTTTCGATGAATGCTTGCACCTGTTGTTTGTCGTCCCATATTTATTAGTCATGAACTAATGGTTTATAAAAACACGCGCCGACATATATAGATAATCAGCATCCAGACAAAGCGCAAACATAGCAGGAATAGCTTAGGCTACCAAGTAAAAAAAAGGAAAAAAAAATTGCCCAATGTGGGAATCGAACGCACAACCCTTGGCGCAACAGTCGGGCCGCTAACCACTACACCGCCGAGTCAGTCAAAATATATTATAGTAAACTTTTTATTAATACTAATGGTCCCCGGTAGTCGAAATTCGACTACAATTAATTGATATTATAAGTTTGAACATTATTACTACATATTGTCAAATAGGTACATTTTTTTTTTATTGCTTAGATGGGTGGACGAGCTCACAGCCCACATGGTGTTAAGCGGTTAATGGAGCCCATAGACATCCACAACGTAAATGCGCCACCCACCTTGAGATACAAGTTCTAAGGTCTCAAGTATAGTCACAACGGCTGCCCCACCCTTCCAACCGTAACGCATTACTGCTTCACGGCAGAAATAGGCAGGGTGGTGCTATCCACCCGCGCGGACTCACAAGAGGTCCTACCACCACAAGTCTTAAGGTGAATGGCGGCATTGGAGTGATATTGTACATTTTGACAATCACTTAACATGAGATTTTACGTAAGACCCTTTACACGTAATGTGACCCAATAAAAACCTTCTTTTTGTTGGCGCCATCCCGATTAGTTTATCAGAGGGCCGTCCTTTCGAACTTAATATGCTAAAACTTACAAAAAAACTCAAACTACCTGCATAGTCCCAAAAGTTTCCGCCCACGCGATTGTTCGGGGTCCCCGATAATTGGAATGACACGCAGAGGTAGCTAGATTTCCGAATGATTTATTTTTATCTATATATTAATACATGAAGCAAAAACTTTGTATTCCTTTTTACGAAAATTACGCGGACGGAGGAGTATGAGTCCACCCATCTAAACAACAAAAATAGTCCAACATAAACAAGCATCGTTATCACTTGCCTGATCATATCTATCGAATCATCTTAAACAATCCAATGCTCTAAAACGAAATCCGCCTGAAACGTCACAAGATAAATGCTATCGTCCGGGGGTAATCCTTAAAAATAGGCTTATAGCCTGGCTTTTGGTTATCCGACATCAACCGTCTGTGATTAAGCGTCTGTTTACCTCCACAGGGTTTTCGGTTTTAGCGTCCGAAACGCGTGATTTACTTCTCCTGGGGAACGTTTACAAATATTTTTGCAAGGTCTAAAGCAAATTTAGACTGCCAGCGATTGCGTTTTTGCGCAAAACAACAAAAAAAAGAAAACCCTGTTAAACCGAAATAAGAATCAATTTTGAACGGAGTATTTGTCAACTAGGAGGATATTCGTAGTACTAAGGCATTTACGTGATGACGTCTGTTGTCTCCAAAGTGATTGATAATGGCACAATTAATTCCTCTTGTACTGACATTCTTCGCACTGTTATCGAAAGATTTCGCAAAAAAATTTGTTAGATAAGTTCTGATAGTAGATGTAGGTGGCGGCTTCCCCCCGGTGAAGATCAAAGGGCGACCTGAGGGGGTCGAGGCCGCGCGGCGCGCTACCTGCACTCTAGCGCGCTGCCAAGGAGTATTAATAATAGAGCAACCGGTTGGCGGTGTATCGCGTCCCCGCCCGGCAGGCTGGTTCTGTTCCAGTAGGCTATTCCGGGATACCAGCGACAGCGTCTGGGCGGCCTGACGGGCTGCCGTACCGAGACGGCCGAAATTTCAGAGCCTTCGAATCGCCTCGAAGGCTTCGTCGGCCGGGCGTCCTTAGGGTGAGCTGCGCCGTCTGGTTGTAGTGTTGACCGCGGTAGCCCCCTTACCCTATCCGGGCTCTGACGTCGGAGGGGATCGGACACTTGGGCAAAGTGTGCAGGGGAGTCGTTTAGTGGGTAGGGCCCTGAAAACATCCTTGGGCCCGCGGTCTGGCAGTCGCGGACCAGTCCCACATACGCCGCGCGGCCCCTAGGCGCGGGGATCTCGTAGGAGGTTCGGCCCACGGCCCGAAAAAAAAAGTCCTGATAGTCAAGCATATTGTGCGTGTAAGGGTAGTTACCACCATCACGCATGCGTTCGAAGGATGCGCCACTCATTATTACAATTGAGACCTTATAGTATAAGAAATACTGGTGGTAGGACCTCTTGTGAGTCCGGACGGGTAGGTACCATCGCCTTGCCTATTTCTGCCGTGAAGCAGTAATGCGTTTCGGTTTGAAGGGTGGGGCAGCCGTTGTAACTATACTGATACCTTAGAACTTATATCTCAAGGTGGGTGGCGCATTTACGTTATAGATGTCTATGGGCTCCAGTAACCACCTAACATCGGGTGGGCTCTGAGCTCGTCCACCTACCTAAGCAAAAAAAAAAAAAAAAGTCTTGTGAGTCCAAACCGCATTGACCTTAGAACTTATATCTCAAGGTAGGCATCTATGTTTTAGATGTCTATGGGTTCCGGTAACCACTTAACATCAGGTGGATGGATCAATAGGTGTTCGACACACAAAAGGACGGTAGTTTCGCAAAGTCGAATATTCTCGTATATGACCTTCCAGACTGTTTATCGTGTAAGATCCTCTGAACATAATCACCAAGAACAGGTAGACAGTAGGTAAATTGCAATGAGGAATCTGTCTAATTTAAGTTCCACCAACAAGTTAGTTGNGGTACCTATCCGCGCGGACTCACAAGAGGTCCTACCACCAGTAATTACGCAAATTATAATTTTGCGGGTTTGATTTTTATTACACGATGTTATTCCTTCACCGTGGAAGTCAATCGTGAACATTTGTTGAGTACATATTTCATTAGAAAAATTGGTACCCGCCTGCGGGATTCGAACACCGGTGCATCGCTTCAACACGAATGAACCGGACGTCTTATCCTTTAGGCCACGACGACTTCCGTTTTAAAAGATGGGACTAACTGTATACTTACAATACCATGAAAACGTCTCAAGGTGAACGGCGGCAATGAGGTCTGGCGTGAACCAAGGGCGGATCCAGCGTTGGCGCCAGGAGGGGGTCACATAGTCAAATTTAGATGCGTTCGTTCCCAAACGTTTGCCATTATACAAAGTTATTATATTATATTAAATTAATTAAATATTGAAGGTATGTAGTTACATAAAATCTGTATGGTGACAAAATATATAAATAAAATCATTATATTCAATTAGTGGTCCACCTAAGTCCTGGAACCAGCTCAGGGGGTGGTCATGACCCCCATGACCTCCCCCCCCTGGATCCGCCATTAGCGTGAACTCGTTTTACTAGTAAAAATAAGTATAAAGCTTATAAAGAAGTAATATAGTGATTTTATATTATAGTAGCCGTACCCGTCCTCTTCGCTGGGCATTTCAAATTAACATTATTATTTCTCACCCCCACAAAGATTCTCATCATTAACGCCTCCGCAACCGGTGTAAGGAATCCAACACTCATATAAATATTAGCCTATCCATTAAGTACATGTATTTTCTACATGGATACCAAGTTTCAAGTCAAACGGATGCATGGTTCAGTAGTTATAACGGAACATCCATAAAAACCACGGTAGATTTATATATTGGTATAGATGCAAACGGTATACCTATATCTATTTATTGTATGTATGTATATTTTAAATATTTTGTTATTAGTACACCGTAACATACCTGCTGTATGTTTATCTATTCAGGATTTCTGTAAATAAATCGGTTGTCTGGAAGAGATCGCTTTTAGCAATAAGACCGCCTGTTGTACAAATATATCTACTTGTTGACTGTTTTTTTAATGTTGATTGTGTTTGGATGTGCAATAAAGTATATTCTCTCTCTCTCTCTCTCTCTCTCTCTCTAAAGTACAGTTTTAGATTAATCAAAGCTATTAAGTAAACGATAAAATATAGATAAATAATTTAAACCTCTTAACGAAATATAGTATAGTAGTCATTGCCCGTGGCTTCGTCCACGTTGGCAAGGAAGAGTGTATAAACGGATCCTCAGGGTGGCGGTGAGAATTGAGACAATTTACATCCACACGAAGTAATATATTCTCTTTAGTACACGTTATGGTGGGTAGAATACGAATGCAACAGAGATATGCTTACCGCCGGTATTTATACAATCATCTTGACCTATTTTAATACAAACTTAGTAGATAATATTAAGCATTGTTTACCTTAATTATTCTGCTGATTATTTACGTACAATTATTATGTAATAATATCGAATTATGAATTATGTAACATAAATAACATTAAGGTTTATTGCGCCGGAAGCTGTCAAGCGGAAGGCGCCAATAAAATATTATAAGTATAAAGAAATATGAATGAACTATTTACTTGATTATGAAATTAATAATTATATTATAAGACAATAATAAGTTTTATGTATTTCCTAAGTTCATAAATAATTTACTATGTGAGGCCGGAAGTGTTGCTCGATAACAAGTGTCAGTGTAGTTTCCATTGGGAATATTTTTTAGAGATAAAAAGTAGCTCGTCACAAAACTGACTTAATCCTATGATTTAAAAAAAAAAGAATGTCAATATGCCGCTTCGTTTCAGCGTAAAAGAAGGACAAACAAACAGACAAGCATACAAAACATACTGAAAATTATAATCTTAAAATAAACAACTTTTTTTTTTATTGCCCTTGTAGGCAGACGAGCATACGGCCCACCTGATGGTGAGTGGTTACCGTCGCCCATGGACTTCAGCGATGCCAGGGGCAGAGCCAAGCCGCTGCCTACCTAACTATGCAAACTATGAACATGGTAAGATAAACAAAATGAATTTCTATATCAATCCTATATTTTATTTAATCAGTGTTAAAAGGATTTCAAAATAAATTTTAATTAATAAAACTATATAATTTATTTAGCACCAAAATCATTGTTACCCCCTTTCATGACCCTTAAGATCTTGCCCTGCAATTCTCGAGGAATACCATGTTTTTCTAATAAATGTCTCCGAACTGTTCTGGTTTTGGCGTACAGGCATCCACATTTAGTACACGAGAACATATATAAGCGATCATGTACGTTATTCATGTGCTCTTTAAGACTTGACAAGCGGTAAAACTTCTTCGGACACTGCTGACATTGAAAAGTTTTCTCAGAGTGATGAACCAAATGCTTCTTCCAAATGGCTCGACGCCGGAAGGTCAGTCCGCACTTTTCACACGTGAAAGGCCGCTCGCCGGTATGCAGTCTCAAGTGTTCGATTAACTTAAATTTGCACGGTGCTTTGTATTGGCAGTGGTTACATTCGACATATTGCCCCGTACCGTGCCGAGTGACTTTGTGTATGTTTAATTCGTTGAATACAGGAAATCCTTTGCCACAGCTCTCGCAGATGTATCGGCATCCGTTGTGCCTCTGCATATGGCAATTATAGGTCAACTTATTGGCTAGAACTTTCTGGCATAACGGACAAGTTAAATTAGTTAATTTTCGTTCTTTTGGTTGTTTTTGTGATTTTGTCGTTGACTCTTTTGAGTTTAGTGTCGGTTTGAGTACGTTTGTTTCCGAATCGCTATCGACGCTGTTAAATACATCGTATATGGCGTCATTATTGTTCTGCCTCTTATTATTTATTCGTGATTGGTGAATTTTATAATTTTCTTTTTTAGTTGAACATCTAAACTTTCGTTCTGCTAATTTTGGATTGATTGAAACTTGCTTAGGGTTGATCTTCGCAGTATTATTATTGGTCTTTCTACTATTTATATCAGGAAAATGATTGTTAAACAGCGCGTACTGGCATACATTTTCTTTTAGATCTCCATTGGCGGTATTGCTTATTTCAAACAAGTTTTTCAAGCGTATAGCACTATATTCGCATAGAAATTTAAAGCGTATTGCTTGTTTGAGCAACAATAAACAACTTTTGCACATTGCAGTAGGTAAATTATCATTTGTTTTAAGGACAATATTGGCAAAACTTATTACAGACTTCCCATAGCAGCTCAAGCCGTCTGTGTTCTTCTCATCAAATAAACTTAGCATATTTTCAGGTTTCGAATGAGATAAACATAAACGACATATACATTTATACATTTCATCGTAATTATCCATTGAATTTGTATTTTCAAGTCGAAATCAAAACAAATAAATACACAATTTCCCGAGTTGACACTGACAGCCCTACAGATGACAGTTGCCATTTCAGTTGAAAGAAGAAACGTTTCGTTTTACGCTATTGGAATAGTAAGATGCCGATGTATTTTCGAAAAACAGTATATTATATATTTTTTATTAATCAGATTATAGGTATATTGAAAGAGAATATAGTGTTAATAATAGTACTAGGTTAGATTGTAGATTTGATAAATAAAATAGCCCAACCTGCAATTCTATGCGATGGAATATGTGTTGTATTAGAAAAAAATTCAAAGTCGCATTGACTAAGCTATATGTATGCCATATTGTACATTATTTTTTTACATTTATTTAATTATTATTAAAATGGAGATAAAAGTTAAAAGCAGATTGAATTGATAACCTCCTTTAATTGTTAATTGAAATCTTTTTTTATTTTATTTATTTATTTATTAAGTCGCACCAACAAAGTGATCATCAATACAAAACATTGACAAATTGACAAAAGTTCATTATTATTATTCATTTATGCCTCTGTAAATGTGCTTACAACTCAGCTACATGTCATAACTTGAATGTCACTTGAATGCCACGAGACATGTGGACGATGTCACTGTATAAGTTCTTCTTGTTCTTATCCGACATTATGTAAGATCGATGTAGTATGTCCTCCTATCTTGCTGCATAAGGATTCATCACGAATTTTACGACCGGCCGTCTGCTTGATGTCGACCCTCCTTGAGATAATAATATATATCCAGTATCTATGTATATTCATTTCAACGTGCAATATGGAGTGACTTTTCCCTTCCTTATTTTGGTGTTTATTTTAATCAATCCGTTTCTTGTTTTATGATTTCCATTAAAATTTTAAGATTATATTTGATTCGTATTTCTGGATTTTTTTAAATATCAAAATTTACACCTTGCTGTCACTATTTAAATCATTAGTAAATTCCGGTTAGCAATTGCAGTATAATACTTAAAGAATAGTGCTGCCCTCCGGTCATCGTTCTCATGGAACTCGTCGTTTGCGACGAAGGGCTCGGCGAGCAAATTAGCCCATAGTCACAGCCCACTTTGTTACTTGTCGGTTCTTAGTAATTCGCGTTTCCGATTCGGTGGTAGATTCTGCGAAGCACTGCTCTTGTTGGGGTTAATTTTAGCCCGTGAGCTCACCTATTCGCTCTGTGAATCTAGTTTAACCCCTCGAGATTATTTTATTACGTGACGCCTAGGTATTTGACCTTCGAGGCCCACGGTATGGGCTGGCCGAAGAGTGTGATGGGACTAACGGCGGAGGTGTTTGCGCGCCTATTAAGGAGTGGGATGCTCGAAGTGGTATTCGGAGGGCGACCCCTTTTGAAGAGCACCGCTGTGCTTTTCGTGGGGTTGATGTCAATGCGCCACTTCTGGAACCACTGTCCCATGGTGGCTACTGCGATCTGGAGTCGCCGATGCAACAACGACATCTTCCTACACGAGTAGTAGATAGCCGTGTTATCGGCGAAGAGCGCTAGATGGGTCTCCGGAGACCGGGGTATATCATTGATATACTAATTAAATAATAAGGGGGAGAGCACGGAGCCTTGCGGGACTCCGGCAGTCAGATGACGGGGGCGAGAACGGGTTCCCTCTACTCGATATCCAAACGAACGGTTAGTTTGCAGCAGCTGACCGTGTAGACTATTACTCGTACCCTGGTAACCGTACTCGTCGAACTCGACAAAGAGTTAACGTGCAACCTAACCCATGAATCAGCTCGCTGTATTTCTCGCCGGATGTTCTCAGCGGAGCCTTTGCTCACCCACTTCAGCCAGAAGGGGTGGGATTTGCTAACAGCTGCCCGAGCGCCTCCGAAGGAGACCTGACAGCTCAAGAGCAGCTGNCGCATCGACATCAACCCCACGAAAAGCACCGCCGAAGTGCTCATCCCTCTTTCGAGGGTGACGCCTAGATATTTGAATTTCGAGGCCCACGGTATGGGCTGGCCATAGAGAGTGATGGGGCGAACGGCGGAGGTGTTTGCGCGCCTACTAAGGAGTGGGATGCTCGAAGTGGTGTTCGGAAGGCGACCCCTTTTGAAGAGCACCGCTGTGCTTTTCGTGGGGTTGATGTCGATGCGCCACTTCCGGAACCACTGTCCCATGGTGGCTACTGCGATCTGGAGTCGCCGATGAAGCAGCGACATCTTCCTACACGAGTAGTAGATAGCCGTGTTATCGGCGAAGAGCGCTAGATGGGTCTCCGGAGACCGGGGTATATCATTGATATACAAACTAAATAATAACGGGGAGAGCGCGGAGCCTTGCGGGACTCCGGCAGTCAGTTGACGGGGACGAGAGCGAGTTCCCTCTACTCGATATCGAAACGCACGGTTAGTTCGCAGCAGCTGACCGTGCAGTGTATAGACTATTACTCATTTGTGCCAGTGCTCCACGCTATTTTGTTTGTTTTTGTCAGTGTTTGATGTAAATGTTGTTTGTCAGAGTTAAATGTCTATAATGTGAAAAAAAGTTTCACTTTTACCGTGGTTTCATAAGACCACACAATCCTTTTTTTTTAATATACATCATTTAAAAATGACGGGTCATAGGTACGAAGCGCAAAGGTGTACATATTTTATGAGAGGGAACGAAGAAGTCGCGCCCAAAAATTATCACCTTTTATTATTCAGACGAAAAAACAATTTGGGAGTCCCTTTTATTTTTTCGCTGCGCCCACGAGAACGTGCTTGTGGCCATTACCGCCCATCTAAATCGTTTTAGTGTCTCGCAAGGGCCGTAATATTTTTTTTTTTTTTTTTATATACAATCAGTGTTTGGCGTGAGAGGGATTAAGAAAGTATTTTATCGGTTCACAAATATTTGAAGTTATTCAATTTATTATAATATCTTGAACAGAGTCTGATTTTGATACTTAAACTTAAGTTTCAAATTTGTTAAAACATGAAAGTTTGTCGTTTTTAATTACTTTATAGCGCAGATAAATATTTAAAGTCTAAACTATAAAACTAAAAATAAATTTGAAACTTTTTTTCAACTTAACTGGAGAGCCATAATAATATTATACTATAGTTCATAATTTGGAAAAAATATCATCACAAGAAAACTTCTTCAGTTGTTTGAATGGAGTAAACTTAATTGAAGTTCAATTAAAAACATCGAAATGTTGATGCTAATACCAAATAAAACGGACCTTTAATTACAAAAATAATGTCGGGTATTAACTAAAATGACGCTTATACCAAATACCCTTTCACCCCTGGATATTATAATTTCAATAAAAACGTGGGCTTGAGACGTAAAAAGTCGAAGGGAAGGGTGGGTACCAACTTCCTGCCTATTTCTGCCTTGAAGCAGTGATGCGTTTCGGCTTGAAGGGTAAGGCAGCCGTTGTAACTATACCGAGACTTTAGAACTTATATCTCGAGGTGGGTGGCGCATTTACGTTGTAGATGTCTATGGGCCCCTGTAACCACTTAATACCGGGTGGGCTGTGAGCTCGTCCACCCATGGAAGCAATAAAAAAAAATTTAATAATAATAAGCCATATTTTGTTTCTTTTGGAAGCGAACGTATACTTTTCGTTGAAGTTTCTAAGCTTAGTATTGTATCATAATTCACTTTTGGATTAGCCCCTTAGGCTGACAACGATTAGGTAGGAAACGAAAAAAAAGGTTCACTTGCGGACTAACAAAGGTAATGATAACCTTTTCGATAAATAAATAAAACGGTAGAATTCGTATTTAATTATTTAAAATTAACATTTTGACCGTATCAAAGGTTCTGATATTTCACTTTTTTGAAACATTTACAAATAATATTATAGTTTTTATTGCCCTTGTAGGCAGACGAGCATGCGGCACACCTGATGGTGAGATGTTACCGTCGTCCATAGACTTCAGCAATGCTAGGGGCTACCGCTGAATACTCTCCACAAGACTCGTTTGAAGAAGGACATGTCATAGCGCTCGGGAAACACCGTGGAGGGGAGCTCATTCCATAGCCGGATGGTACATGGCAAAAAATACCTCCTGGAAACGCACTGTGGATGACCGCAGTGGCTCCAGGTAGTATGGATGAACTCTACTCCGGTGGCGGACGGTGCGATGGTAAAAACGAGATGGTGGTATCATCTCAAACAATTCCTCAGAGCACTCCCCATGGAACATGCGGTATAAAATACAGAGGGAACCACAGACCCAAAGGTTCCAAACGATCCGTGAGAATGGGATTATCGACAATCCGAACGGCTTTCTTCTGTATGGGGTCAAATAGAAGTAGCTGGTATTTATATGTACCTTTTGTAAATTAATTTTGATTTAACTGTTATGTGAATTGATGGCCTAATGTGGTCTGATAAATAAATGAATTGACTTGAAGTAATAGCGTCGTAACAAGTAACCCAATTTTAATGTCATTATCAAAATCAGCCATTTAAATATCAAATTGAAATGCCCAAAGAAAGAACGTAATTACGATAATGCCCCTCAATCGAGACTAAAGTAAAAACTCTAGTACATTTGTGTGTCAAAGGGGAAATGGTTAACCCTGCTTCAGTGAGGGCAAACGTTACAAGTAGGGGTCGGAATGGCCGGGGATTTAGCCCAGGTAAGCGACATCGCACCCAAGGGACGTGCCCAGGCATCATTCTGTCGTAAAGATTCAGGTGCAAGACTCGAACTGGCAGCGAGAAGCTTCCAATAGCATCCCTAGTTCAGAATAGCTAGATAAAAAAAAATTTTTTTTGTTAAATTGCGCTCTCTGCAACTTTACTTTTCGCCCATGTTAAATTTATAATTCAAAAACTTAAAAAAAATAATTACGTACGAATTTCCCAGATCAACAAGCTCTATTTACTACATTGGAAACTATACAATTATGTCATTGCAAGTACAAAATAAAAAAAAAATTGCAAACAAACTATTAAATCCATTTACTTACTTTGAAATTTAAAGGTCATTATCCCGGATCATCTAGCATTTTAATACATAATAATACATTTACAAAATAAAAGGA